TTGATAAACGAGAGAGAGAGAGAGAAGAGAAAAAAGAGAGAGAGAGAGAGAGAGAGAGAGAGAGAGAGAGATGCACCTTATTTAATTTCTGAAGTTCTGTAATGAGTTAATTATGGCCGACCTGTTGTTGTTGTTGTTGTTTTTCATCTTCCAGGAGAGAGGGTAAAAGAATCCTTGTGTGTCTGTTTGTTTGTCTGTTTGTTTGTTTGGTATGAATCTCAAAAGGCGACTTATACTACAACAACAACAACAACAACAACCACCACAACAACAACCACAACTATCACAACAACCACCACAACAACCACCACAAAACCACCACCACCACCACAAAAACAACCACAACTACCACAATCACTTACAACAACAAACCACAACTACCACAATCACGTACAACAACAACCACAACTACCACAATCACGTACAACAACAACCAACAACTCACCACAATCCCTAATTATAACCACAATGTCAACACAATTGTAAATATAATCACCAGTTAATGACCTGATTATATAGAGGTGATTAATTAGCCTTGTTAGGTAATAGTGGAGATGGTATTGTGGGTAATGAGGGGAGGGGAAGGGGGAGGGCAGGGGGGGAGGAGAAGAGGGAGGAAGGGAGGCAAGGGGAGGCAGGGGGGAGGGGAGGGGGGGGAGGGGGGAGGGGGGAGGAGGAGGGAGGGGAGGGGGAGGGGGAGGGCAGGAGGGGAAGAGAGGGGAATGGGGAAAAGGAAGAGGAAGAGGAGAAGGGAAAGAAGGAAGGAGGAGAGATGAGAAGAATATTTAAGATACCATTAAAGAAAATGAGAGAGAGAGAGAGAGAGAGAGAGAGAGAGAGAGAATTCCTATATTATCCCACCACGAGTACTTTCATTCCATTAGTGAAAGCATCCTTACCTGTAGAAAGTAATTAGCAAGAGTTAATTAAAGGGAGAGAGACAGGTGTACAGGTAATGAGATAGATGGACAGGTAGTGAGATGGTGTCTGTCTGTCTGTCTGTCTGTCTGCCTCACCCCGATTTCCCTGTGTTTAATACGTCATCACCACCACCAGTGACGTCATACCCCCCAGTGACGTCATACCCCTGAGTTGCCGGTGATCGATTAAATGTCTCGTTAAGGTGGAAAAAAAATCGGACGAGAAAACTCCACAGATTTTGATCAAACTTTCTTCTTCTATCAGGTGTGAAAGTAGGTGAAAGTAGGAGCATTATTTAATTCTTTTTCAGTCTTCACGAGGGTTAGGTGACGTGAGGAATTTACCTTAGATAAAATTATAAAGAGGTGGGAAACTGTGGCTTCTGGACGTCATAGATGGATCGATTCTTACTGGATTAGGTAGGAGGCTGGGAGGGGGGCTGAGGAGGGGGGGCTGAGGAGGGGGGGGCTGAGGAGGGGGGCTGAGGAGGGGCTGAGGGGAGGGGGGGGCTGAGGAGGGGGGGGCTGAGGAGGGGGCTGAGGAGGAGGGGCTGAGAGGGGGGCTGAGGAGGGGGGCTGAGGGTACTATCTCCCTGTATGACCCCTGCCACAGTTACTTTTATGACAACATTAGTGAAGCGGAGTGTGCCAACCCACGCCTCTAGACACACTTACTTGTGTGTGTGTGGAGAAAGCGAGTGATCTAGCTTTAATTTTAAGGTCCAAAGAAGATAGGAGAGAGAAAGAGAGAGAGAAAAGAAAAGATAATTATTACTTACACACATATACACACACACACACACACACACACTAAACAATAACACTGGCCATTAATTAACAGTAACTCTTAATTACAGGAAAGTTTTAATATTCAGGTAAATGTTTTTTAGGTCATAATGAAGGTCAATTAATTGTTGATATGTAATTATGTGTGTGTGTGTGTGTGTGTGTGTGTGTGTGTGTGTGTATTTTGTATATGTATTTTGTATCTCTCTCAGCATCTTGGAGACATCTCTTGCCCCCTGGAGACGTCTCAGTATCTCACGTGGGCTAAAGACGGGCAATTTGTCAAGGTGTCGCTGTATTGAATATTAAATGAGGGGAATTGAATGTGTCTTACTTTTCTCCCCATATTCTCCCCATTTCCATTTTCTCCCTTATTCTCCTCAATTTCTCCCATTTTCTTCCCAATTTCTTCATCCCCAAAGCAAATTTTTTCCCCATAATCTCCCCAATTCCTGTAATTTCCCGATTTTACTCGTTATTTCTCAATTTATATAATCTCCCCACAATCTTCCCACCACCCCAATATCTCCCACAATCTCCCCCACCCCAATATCTCCCACATAATCTCCCCACCATCCCATAATCTCCCCACATATGAGGACATTTAAGATCTTTTAAGAATTTGTGGTCAGGAGGCCGTGTTTGGGGCGTTGACCATGTTGATACAAGTTGGTGGGTGAGAGAGAGAGAGAGAGGAGAGGGGAGAGAGAGAGAGAGAGAGAGAGAGAGAGAGAGAGAGAGGGAGAGAGAGAGAGAGAGGGAGGTGAGAGAGAGGGAGGGACAGGGAGGAGGTAGGAGAGAGGGAGGGAGGGTAAGAGGGAAGGAGGTAGGAGAGAGGGAGAGGGGGGAGGGGTGAGGGAGAGAGGGGGGAGAGGGAGGAGAGGGGGAGGGTGAGGGAGAGTTCAGAGAGTACACAGCCTGGGGTGACGCTCTCGATGAACGGAGGAGGAAGAGGGAGGGAAGGAAGAGAAGGAGAAGAAGGGAGAGAATTAAAGGAAAGGAGAAGTGAGAGAAAGAAGTACAGGAGAAGGAGGGAGAGGACGAGGACTAAGAGAAGGAAGGAGGAAGGAGGAGAAGTAGAGGAAGAAGGGAGTGGAAGGAAAGGCAGAGGAGGAGGAGGGAGGAAAGGAGGGGAGACTAATCCTCTATTCCCTCACCCCAGCGTGTGTGGGAGGAAACAAGCTGGGATATAAGATATTGTGTTTCTTCCTCCTTCCCTCTCCCCTCAGTCCTCCTCTCCCACCCCCCCCAGTCCCTCCCCCTCCCACCTCCCCCCAGCCCTCCCTCTCTCTCCCCCCTCTCCTCAGTCCTCTTCCCCTCTTCCCCCACTTTCCCTCCCTCAGTCCTCCCCCCTCAGTCCTCCCTCTCTCCCATTCTTCCTTCACCTCCTCTCCCCATATAGGCCTACCCATTAAAATCATAAAAAATTATTTATCTATTAAATTCAGGACAAAAAATAGGCCTAAATAATAGTTACTTTTGTTTAAGGAAAAAATAAATAAAAAATAGAGTTGAAAGTTGAATGAAATGGTTTGTGTGTGTCAGGTCAGGTCAGGTCAGGTCAGGTCAGGTCAGGTCAGGTCAGGTCATACACCACACAGTACAGGAGTCAATGTTTGTGTTGTAGTAATGAACTTAAAGGCGACACACAGTAAAATGCGGTTCTACTCACCCACTACAAGTATATATGTTATTATTTTTATACTTTTGGGGATTTGTGAAAGAGATTGTTACTTACATTACTCTCTCTTTCTCTCTCTCTCTCTCTCTCTGTTTTCTCCTTCTTCTCCATTTCTCACCATTCACTATTCTTCTTTCCTTCCCTCTCCCCCTCTCCTCCCCCCATCAACATCCTTTTTCCGCCTTTTAAAATCTCCTTCTAATTGCTGCGAGATGGACCTGGGAAGTGTATTTGACGAAGAGAGAGAGAGAGAGAGAGAGAGAGGTTCCATCTTCTTGGTAGTAAATGTTCATGTCTATGTATGTATGTATGTATGTATGTATGTATGTATGTATGTATTACGTGTATGTGTGTGTGTGTGTGTACGTGTAGGACTGTGTTACATGTTTCTGGAATAAACAATTTAGGAGAGTAGGTCACCATCTGTTTGGTGCTGTGTGGGCGTGGGCGTGTGTGTGTATGTACGTGTGTGTGTATGTACGTGTGTGTATGTAGTGTGTGATGTACGTGTGTGTGTGTCGCAGGTACTAATTAAAAGGTAAACAGTTGAACTTAAGGTCTATTGGGGGGGAAATTTTTAGTTGGTATGCAAATTAATGAGTTGGTTTCACACTGTCACAAGCTGAGTGTGGGCAGGGAGAGAACTAGGAGGGGAGAGGTGAGGGGAGAGAAGGGAGGGAAGGGAGAGAGAAGGGAGAGAACTAGGAGGAGAGGTGAGGAGGAGAAGGGAGGGAAGGGAGAGAAGGGGAGGGAGAGGAGGGAGGAAGGGGGGAAGGAAGGGAGAGAACTAGGAGGGAGAGGGGGAGGGAGGGGGGGGAGGAGAGAACGATAGGAGGAGAGGGAGGGAGGAAGGGGGGGGAGGGAAGGGAGAGGTGAGGGGAGGAAGGGAGGGAAGGAGAGGAGGAAGGTGAGGAGGCTGGAGGAGGAGGAGGAGGGGGAGGTGAGGAGGAAGAGGAGGTGGTGATTGAAGAAGAAACAGAGGAAGAGAGGAATGAGTGAATGAAAGAAGGGAGGAAAAATAAAACAGAGAGAGAGAGAGAGAGAGAGAGAGAGAGAGAGAGAGAGAGAGAGAGGTCTTCATTTTTCACCAACATCTACCTATTCTCAGGAGCCGCCGACCCCAACACATTACCTCTTTGTAGGATAATTGGATTTCCCCACGACTTACCCAATTACCTGCCCAATTACGTACCCAGTTTCGTACCAGATTACCCATTTTTGTAACCGATTTAAATAGGAACGTCTTCCCTGTGTATGGCTGGATTAGTTCTTTTGAAATCATTAACTCTTATTTGTTCAGGTGAGAGACAGAGAGACAGGCAGGAGAAGACAGACAGGCAGACAGGCAGGCAGACAGACAGGCAGACAGGACAGACAAGCAAGACAGACGCGGTAGCTGCACACAAGTCTTGGTACTAATGTATGTCCAGGATCTTGTCTGTCTGTCTGTCTGTCTGCCTGTCTTCGTCTGTGTGTCTGTCTGTCTGCCTGCCTGCCTGTCTGTCTGTCTATACCTGTAGCAATTAATTACAATCAAATGACGTTAATTATGTATTTTTACCTGTAACTACCAATTAAATACACTGTAACAACCTGTATTATGTATTTTCCAGGTGTATAATGAAGGTACAACGTGTAGTGGAGCGAGGAGTGTGGTGTGTCGTGGTTACAGCCGCTGTGTTGATGGTTGTTACAGTGGCTGCACCTCACCAAGATACCAAGACTCAAAGTAAGTTGAATTCCCTTGTTATTTTTTTTGGTTATTTACGTGATTTTGATGCTGATGATGATGATGATAACGTGTTTTTATTGCCCGAGGTCAAAGGTTACGGTTTGAAATGTTAATATAATCTGTTATAGGCAGTGGTTTAGTGGTTATTGCACTCGCTTCGTATATAACAACAACAATAACAACAGCAATAACAAACACAATAACAACAAGAGTGTAGAATAACATCATAACTTTACCCCCAAAGCAACCCGCCGTCTCTAGTCACATCCCGTCTAGCTTATTATAACTTTGAAGAGTTATTAAAGTGTGTCTTGTTCGTATGTAAGTTAATTAAGTGGTAATAATAGCACTAATGAAGGGTAGAATCCACGCGTATGGGGGTTTGGTGAGTTCTGATCATCTCTGTCTGTCTGTCTGTCTGTCTGTTCTGTTCTCTCTCTCAGTACTTCCTGGTCGAGATAGCAATGTCAACAAGGTGGAAGTTCGCGCCAAATGTTACCCGGAATCAAGGCTCCACCCCGATTGGCTATCGATTAGTTATTGTGGCTTATGATTGGCAAGTATGATTCATGACGTCACACACTACATTAGATGGCTTGTATGACTAATGACCTCATCGTGTACTTGTATTATGATTGGCTGTGATAAATAATGACGTATTAAAGTGATAGGTGATTGGTTTATGAATCAGTGTACATGGAAGACACGTCGCCCCCTATTTGACCCTAAACTGATAGCTGATTGGTTGTTAAACCTTGTGACGTGATGAGCGTTGATTGGCTGCAGTGGACCGTGTCGAAGCATTGGATTATGCGGCCGCGAGCTGTGATTGGCTGGACTCAATCCTCCGCTCACATTGTCGTGAAATGTAAACACTGTTGATTTATTTAATACAGTAATGTGATTTTACCTGTGTATGTACCCCTGTAATTTAGACCTGTATGTACCTGTAGATTAATTTATCTCCTTCCTCATTCCTCCACCTCCATCATTTTTTCCTCCTTCCTCCACCATCCTTCCTATTTTCCTCTTTCTTCCTCCTTCCTCCTCCCTCCCTCAACAGGTCAGATAATAATCGCTCTCTCTCTCTTTCTCTCTCCAGATGTCAAGAAGTCTTTCCCAGCTCAGGTAAGGAAGGTTAATTTACCTGTTGACCATGTTACCTGTCCGGTGAGTGTGTGTGTGTGTGTGTGTGTGTGTGTGTGTGTGTGTGTGTGTGTGTGTGTGTGTGTGTGTGTGTAACACAGATAATATTAACAGTAGTTAGATTAGGTTAGGGTAATTTATGTTAGGTAAGGTTAGGTTACCCAGGTGAGGTAATCTTCAGGTAACCAATTTCTCCATGAATACCCAAACATTTTAACACGTGTCTAATAGCCTCTGACAATCTCCAACTTGTGAAGCTTCGTCAAAAGTTTGTAATATGAGACAAAGTTTATTACATTAGTTAAAAAGTTTGTATTTATGAGTTGGTCACGTTAATGCGGTTAGTAAAAGTTTGGGGTTTGGGAAGAGAAAAGTTTGTAATGGACGAGTTGTTGTGATATAGAAAGTAACTGGTACGGAGTTAGGTCAGGTCAGGTTAGGAGGAGGTTAGGCATAAGTTATGTTAGGTCAGGTAAGGGTTAGGTTAGGTTAGGGTAGGTTAGGTCAGGTTAGTTTAGGTTGGTTGTTGTTAGTAGGTTAGACTGTGTGTTATGTTAGGTCAGGTTAGGTTATTTACTGCTTACACATAATCTGTTGTTTACCAGTAGAGTCTCCTGCATAAATCACCTGTTTTTGCCATTTCCCTTCCTTTGTGTAAAACTGTTTGATGGTGATGAGAGGAATAGCTCCCTTAACGAGGAGGAGGAGGGAGAAGGGGGAGAGGAAGGGAGGGAGGAGGAGAAGGGAGGAAGAGGAGAGGGGAGAAGGGAGAGGGAGAAGAAGGGGAGAGGGGAGAAGAAGGGGAGAGAGAGGGAGAAGAAGGGAGAGAGGAAGAAGGGGAGAGGGAAGGAAGAGAGGGAGAAGAAGGGGGAGGGAGAAGAAGGGGAGAGGAGAAGAAGGGGGAGAGGGGGAGAAGAAGGGTGAGGGAGAAGAAGGGGAGAAGAAGGGGAGAGGGGAGAAGAAGGGGAGAGAGGGAGAAGAAGGGGAGAGGGAGAAGAAGGGGGGAAGGGGAGGGAAGAAGGGGGAGAGAGGGAGAAGAAGGGGAGAGAGGGGAGAAGAAGGGGAGAGAGGGGAGAAGAAGGGGAGAGAGGGAAAGAAAGGGGAGAAGGGGAGAAGAAGGGGGGAGAGAGGGAGAAGGGGAGAGAGGGAGAAGAAGGGGAGAGAGGGAGAAGAAGGGAGAGAGGGAGAAGGGGGAGAAGAAGGGGAGAGGGAGAAGAAGGGGGAGAGAGGGAGAAGAAGGGGAGAGGGGAGAAGGGAGAAGAAGGGAAGAGGAAGAGGGGGAGAGAGGAGAAGAAGGGGAGAGAGGGAGAAGAAGGGGAGAGAGGGGAGAAGAAGGGGAGAGAGGGGAAGAAGGGGAGAGAGGGAGAAGAAGGGGGAGAGAGGGAGAAGAAGGGGAGAGGGAGAAGAAGGGGGAGAGGAGGGGAGAAGAGGGGAGAGAGGGAGAAGAAGGGGAGAGGGAGAAGGAGAGGGAGAAGAAGGGAGAGAGGGAGAAGAAGGGGAGAGAGGGAGAAGGAAGGGGAGAGAGGGAGAAGGGGGAGAGAGGGGAGAAGAAGGGGGAGAGAGGGGAGAAGAAGGGGGGAGAGGAGAAGGGGAGAGGGAAAAGGGGGAGAGGGAGAAGAAGGGGGAGAGAGGGAGAAGAAGGGGAGAGAGGGAGAAGAAGGGGAGAGAGGGAGAAGAAGGGGAGAGAGGAGGAAGAAGGGGAGAGAGGGAGAAGAAGGGGGAGAGAGGGAGAAGAAGGGGAGAAGGGAGAAGAAGGGGGAGAGGGAGAAGAAGGGGAGAGAAGGAGAAGAAGGGGAGAGGGAGAAGAAAGGGGAGAGAGGGAGAAGAAGGGGAGAGAGGGAGAAGAAGGGGGAGAGAGGAGAAGAAGGGAGAGAGGGGAGAAGAAGGGGAGAGAGGGAGAAGAAGGGGGAGAGAGGGAGAAGAAGGGGAGGGAGAGGGGAGAAGAAGGGGGAGAGAGGGGAGAAGGGGGGAGAGAGGGAGAAGAAGGAGAGAGAGGGAGAAGGGAGAGAGGGGAGAAGAAGGGGAGAGAGGGAGAAGAAGGGGAGAGAGGGAGAAGAAGGGGAGAGAGGAGAAGAAGGGAGAGAGGAGAAGAAGGGGAGAGAGGGAGAAGGGGAGAGAGGGAGAAGAAGGGAGAGAGAGGGAGAAGAAGGAGTTCCTTAACAAGTTTACTGACCTGGACACACACACACACACACACACACACACACACGCACACACACACACACGCACACACACATGGGGAAAACAAGCAAACGTACACACCAAAACACAGACAGACACAGGGCAATAATAGGAAAATCCTCAACTAAGGAAATAAAAGTTTTGAAGAGACGTCTGGCACAACACTGGAGAGAGAGAGAGAGAGAGAGAGAGAGAGAGAGAGAGAGAGAGAGAGAGGACAACAAGAAGAAGTGATAGGAGGAGGAGAGGTGAGAGAAGGAGCAAGAGAAAGAGGAGGGAAGAACAAGAGGTGAGATGAGGAGGGAGGAAGAGAAGGAAGAGGGAAGAAGAACAGATAGCAGGAGGAGGAGGACAAGAAGAGGGGGAGGAGGAGGGAATAAAAAGAAGAGGAGAGGAGGAAGAGGAGGAGGAAGATCTCTCACTGGACAAGAGACCAGAGTTAAATTATCTCTTCTGTGTCGAGTGAAATGGTGAGAGAAATTGGTTCCGCTCTCACCTCTCACTTGTTTCTCTCACTTCTCCCACTCACCTCTCACCCTCTCACCTCTCCCTCTCACCTCTCACTATCTCCCTCTCACCCTCTCATCTCTCATCTCTCCCTCTCACCTCTCACTTGTTTCTCTCACTTCTCCCTCTCACCCTCTCATCTCTCACCTCTCATCTCTCCCTCTCACTATCTCACTCTCATCTCTCCCTCTCATCTCTCACCCTCTCACTATTGATGTCAGTGAGGCAAGGAGAGCTTTTACCGCGTCTGGTGGGTGGGCAGTAGGTGGGTGGGTGAATGTGGGTTCGTGGGTGGGTGAGTGGGTAGACAGGCAGATAAATGGGTAAATAGGGTGTGTCCTTAATACACACGGCCCTCATAATTACCATATTAATTAGGTCACACCTCCCTAACTACCCGTGTAATGATGCTTTAATGAGGTCACCTTTATAATGAGTTGTTGTGTTTAATTAGTCTCTCTCTCTCTCTCTCTCTCTCTCTCCCCTTCCCACCTATGCATATATAGTAACGGTCTTAAGCACGATTTCTCTCTTCCAGGAAAATCGAGTTTCTGTCCCGATTTTCTTACCTTTTCCACCGATTTTCTAACCTTAACACACACACACACACACACACACACACACAGACACACACATTACTCGTGTTAATTAAAGTTAATCTAAATATAAATTAACAAAATTCTTCGTTAAATTAACAAACTCAGGATAAACTGGGCAATTAATTAACATAGTCTGAGAGAAGCTTTGTTTTACCGGGGGCAGCGTGCAAACAAGCGGCTATATTGTAAACATAACATGTAAACAAATGATCTTTCAACATGTCAGGGACCCTTAGTGTATCACAGTCATATTGTAAACAAGTGGTCATATAGCAAAACATGTAAACACAGTCATATAGTAAACATGTAAACACAGTCATATAGTAAACATGTAAACACAGTCATATAGTAAACATGTAAACAGTCATATAGTAAACATGTAAACACAGTCATATAGTAAACATGTAAACAGTCATATAGTAAACATGTAAACACAGTCATATAGTAAACATGTAAACACAGTCATATAGTAAACATGTAAACACAGTCATATAGTAAACATGTAAACACAGTCATATAGTAAACATGTAAACACAGTCATATAGTAAACATGTAAACACAGTCATATAGTAAACATGTAAACACAGTCATATAGTAAACATGTAAACACAGTCATATAGTAAACAGAAAAAAACACCTGCATATATAAACATACACTGAGTCAAACACACCTTTTGTAAACCTAACTTAATCACCATCTTACACCTCCAATTAGGCACCAAATTACCTGAATGATATTTTGAGAATCTTTCACCTGTAATTATAATATTCAGGTAAGTATATAATTGCTTTTTATCTTCCCATGAAAACACAATTACACCTTGATGATTGTGAATTGGTCTTTCTAATTACCTGTTGTCTTGTTCACGAGGTTCTCTCTCTCTCTCTCTCTGTCTGGGTGAAAATATATGACAGGTAGCAGTAATTAAGTGTTGTTTTCGTTATTCTACTTTGTTTTGTTGTTATAAATTCTGTCGTATGCAAATTAGTTTGTCTGTTGTTGTGTTAAGGGTGTTTACATACATACATACATACATACATACATACATACATACATAACAGACAGACACATACATAGTCTCCCTACGTAGCCTACATATACAAACAACCTCACACACACACACACACACACACACACACACACACCAACCTCGTTAACACACTATAACATCAGGTCACATCGGTTATTAATGTTATATACGTTTGAGTGAGCGAATCTTGGCTGTCTTGTCTGATATTGGTGGTATGGTAATGTGAAAAGATGCGGGATGGGAGATGGAAGGGGTGATGGAGAGGTGATGATGAAAGGAGCGGGGTGAGGGGGTGGAGTGGAGAGGGAGGGGGTGGCGGAGAGGGGAGGGGGTGATGGAAGGGGGGAGGTGGGGTGTTGATGGAAGGGGAGGAGAGAGATGATGGGAAGGTAACATTATGGGAAAGGGATGATGGAGGATAATGGGAGGGAACAGATAATGGGATGAAGTAATGGGAGGGGTGATGGGATAGGATAATGTGACGGATGATGGAAGGGACAGCTGTGTTAAGTGGCCTCTCACCTGGGCAGGGTACAGGTGAGTGGGATCGATGGTGAGGGAGAGGGGTTAGGGGGGGAGGTGAGGGAGAGGGGGGAGGTGAGGGAGAGGAGGGAAGGTGAGGAGGGTGAGGGAGAGGGTCAGGGAGGGAGGGGTCAGGGAGGAG